CATCATCTGAAATCTGAATAAATAAGCTTTCCATTGATCTATTTGAAAATATGGAATCTGAGGGTGCAAAAAAAATCTAAATATTGAGAAAATCATCTTTAAAGTTGTCCAAATGAAGTTCTTAGCGATGCATATTACTAATCAAAAATTAAGTTTTAATATATTTACAGTAGGAAATTTACAAAATATCTTCATGGAACATGATCTTTACTTAATATCCTAATGATTTTTGGCATAAAAGAAAAATCTATCATTTTGACCCATACAATGTATTTTTGGCTATTGCTACAAATATACCCCAGCGAATTAAGACAGGGTCACATATAGATGTAGCAATTTGTCGTGAACTTGTACAATCATTACAAAGAAGTAGGGGTGGGTGATATTGAATTATGATCCACAATCTGAATCACTATTATTTTTCATGATGGTTTTTATGACTATTTTGCAAGTTACTGAGCAGTAAAAACTAGTATAACTAGTTAAATTAGACCTACAACTAATTTATGTAAAACGGTTCTCAATGTTTGTTGAGTTTATTCAAGGGTATAGACATATTTGCAACCCTTCATTTAATTTAATTAATTTATGGACCAATTGTACGAGCATAAACTTACAGAAATGTATACATAATCTATAAGCTACCATGGATTTAAGCAGCGGTGTCTCTCACCTGGGTCAGTGATGCCAACCACCAGTAACTTGCTGAGAACGTCAGCCACCACCTGCACAGCGGTCTGACTGACCACGTGACCGTGGCCGCTGATCAGGTGGATGGAGGGGGTGAGCAGACGCGAGCAGGTACGCGCTGCCTCCATGCGGATCTCCTTGTGCTCACTGTTCAGGAAGTGGTCAGCACAGTGGCGAACAAACTGAGTCAACGAATGACCTAAAAATGAACCAAACAGTAATGAAAAATATTAATTTGCCAGTGATATTTTTGCTGAGATCGCCACTGGCGACTATATAAATTAACACGTTATGTTTAAAAAATGTGCATCTAATGCCTTTTTTCCTGATTGTTTTGCAATCACATATTTTGTTGTGTTGACATAATAAACTATGACAATGCGCATCATAGTTTTAGTGGAAAAACAGTTAGTTGTGGCAGCAACTGAGATCAAAATTGACAGTGACCTGCAAAGTAAAAGAGCAGAAAAGCAGTGTCTATTTTGTGCACAACTTGAACAGACTACAACAGTTTACTTGAACAGTAAAGCTGTCAGCTGTGTGGACATTAACAATATCGTTAACAATTCTCGTTTATAACCGATACGAATATGGCTTGTTGTTATCCAGATCTTTAGCCTATATGCTGTGTTCTGTTAATGTGTGAACTTCATATTATTTGTAGCGTACTTGCCGTCCAATAATCACAGTAAGCTTGTTCTATTACCTAAGTACCAGCTTTAAAATTCTGCCAAATTCATAACAAAATTCAAACAATAAATGCCGTTTGGCACTCTTTAATGTGGCATGAGTGATCGCTTTAGTGCCTCAGTTCAAGCAGCACATCATATCTTTCTCTTTACAACTATAGTACGAAATAAACATGAATGGACATAAGATAGCCTATAATACAACTTACTGAAATGTCTCATGTAATCGCTTATTCAGTGTTTCAAACTGTGGAAAATGTGTAAAGCTTGTAAGCAATGCCACGTAACAATACATTTACCTCAGAATAACCATTCGGTGTCCATAAGCTCACCAGTCAGCTAGAAAAAATAACTAGAGGAGCTTATTGCTAAATATATGCACTATATTGCATATTAATATCTTTACTTAACCTGTTGTCTACATTATAAGAAAGAATGCAAGGAGCTAAAGGTTAATTTTAACACCTATAAATTGCATGTTAACCTACTAATGAAGATTGGAAGAGTGGATGTGTGCAGGACATATGACAGCATTTATAGGATGCATTGAGGAGGAGCCCACTTAATGGCCAAGTGATGCTGACATAGTTATGGTCCATGATATTGGCACAGATTCTGTGTAATAAACAATTCTTTGTGACTAAATATAGCTCTCCAGTTGGAAAATACATTTTGTTCCCACTTTAAGTGAACCCGAGTTCCCAGGACATATACAAGAAGGATTAAAAAAATAATTTGGCGCCTATTTTTGTTTCTTATAGGAGCCAATGATTTTTTTTTTTGTCTGGAGCCCTGTAAGGTGTTCTGGGTAGAGCTGCGTGATGCATTAAATATTAGCAATATTACTGCAATAACTTAGGGAAATGCATGATAATGTTAAGTTTAGCTTAAAAAGACAGCAAGCCAATTTCACTCCCCTTTTCATCTCTTGTATATAACAGCTGTCAAACGACTTTGTGGGTATTCGTGTGAGCGCTCTATGACGAGCATCAAAGGCTTTTATTTACAACTTGCTTTTACAGCGTTGAGCATGATAACCGATCGCTAACATGAGTGTTAAGCATGAGGATGCAATGTCAGATCAGACGCATTTAGGTTAGTCAGAATACACTCAATACTGCTTAAAACGTACGTACGTGAATCCTTTCATTATAGCCAAAAAAGTGTAAACATGATAGAAAAAAATATAGCGCTTTGTCAGTGAGCTCGCGCTGAAGTGATTGGCAGCTTCAGTGATTATAAAGGGAGTGCTCTTTGCTCGCTCTTTGTTCTCTATGTTCACAAATTGGATAAAAGTTTTATTTTTCATGCTTTTTCATATATTTTTTTTATTGGTACCAATAGTTAATATGATTTCAAACTGATATGTTAAGTAAATATCATTTTGTGTTCATTAGTAAAAAGCAGTAAGTGGTCACTATTTCTAGATTAATATTTTTGTAGTAATTTCTGTGTTGAACTGTTTGTATGTACTTTATAGAAATAGCTATTCTATCCAGATTTATCATATCACCATTTTAATTTTTTGAGAGCTAATGCAAAAACATTGAGCAATATATTAGATATTGTCCAAATTTGGGAAAAGTATTGAGATATAATTTATTAGCAATACTGCCCAGCACTAGATCTGGGTGGTCGTTCACTTGCTCAAATCAAAAGAGCCCACCCTCAAGTCTATAAATGTCTTAGGTCCCTCTTCTTGTGCAATTCTTTGGGATTTTTCACTGGTTTAATCTCCTCAGTAAGCAACATATATTTTAGGCATCATTACTATCAGTAGTAGGGACAGGTCAGGATGGTCAACTAGTCGTCTACAAACCAGATAGTCAATTGGTGAGGTTGACTAGTTAATCTAGATCCGTGTCTGGTGGACACAACAATAATTATACAGGGCTTCCTTGACATAACCAGACAATTCACAGACTAGCCCATTATGAAACTGTGGCAGAATATGTTTGGTTTATGTTTTATGTTTGGTTAACACACAGTTTGGTTATTTAAGAGAGTGATAATCACATTTGTAACCAGTGAATTTTCAGGACTCACAACCACATTTCCGGCAAACCCCTGCTGTATGAAAGGAACTGCAATTGTCTAATTGTCTTTCACATATACATAGCGAGTCACTCCCTGCTGCAAGTGTGGGGTTTCAATGCAGATGTTATGGACATCACAACCATATATTTTAGTCACTGTCACTATGAATACAGGTGATACTCGTAGATTAATAGAATTACGTGACATTAATAGAATACGTGATAGTCAGATTACTAGAAACTTCCAGGCTGGTGTGTTCAGGACCGGGTTGGAACAAAATTATGCAGGACATTGGCCCAGCAAAAAAGGACTGGACAGCCCTGCCCTGGACCAACAGCAGCCATTTAAGAAACTATTAATGAAAGTACCTAATTAATAGTAGCGCTTTGCAAACAAATTTTTCAAAAACTGGTAGAATTAATTCATGATTAAGTTGACAGTTAAATTTAATTTCAACCATCATCATCTAAAGCAGGGGTGTCAAACTCAATTCCTGGAGGGCCAGAGCCCTGCAGAGTTTAGATTCAACCCTAATTAAACACACCTGATCCAACCAATCAAGTCCTTCAGGTTTATTTGAAGACTACATGGTTTCTGTGTTGGAGCAGGGTTGGAACAAAACTCTGCAGGGCTCCGGCCCTCCAGGAATTGAGTTTGACACCCCTGCTCTAAAGTGTCTTGTACCTTCAAATTCAAAGCTGCCTAGAGTGCGCAGTGCCAGGGTGATGCTGCCCACGTCACTAGCCTCAGGGATATTGGTCAGGCTGGGTGACGCCAGCTGGTACGCCAGGCCCTTGGGCATACCGGGGTGACGCAGAGGCTTGTGCATGAGCACAAGAGAAAGCATTTTTAGCAGCCCATCCTGAATGTCCTTCTTCAGCAGTGGGATCTGCCTGCTCAGGTCGTACAGCACTGCGGTCAGAGCAGGACTGGGAAGAAGAGAGGCAGGCAATTAAGACTCTTCTGGCATGTACAATGCTAATAATAGGTTTTTGCACAATCAACAGCATTCATGATGTTAAAAACCTTTTGTTCTAAAGGCTTATGCTTAAATGTTTCAAACTAGTTTTGAAGACAAATATATATTGTGCCTACATATCTGTTTTTATTATGCTTCATGTCTATTAATTGTCTTAGTCATATCTGTAACATTGTAGTAGTAGTAGTGAAACTAGTAGTGAATAATATGTTTCTATCAATGAGTTTGCATCTAAAAAAAAACTATTGCCTTGTAAAGGACAAACTGAGAATAAAGCACTAGCCCCAAGCAGTTTGACTTGTACTGTACCTGAGACCAACAGCTAACATGGGCTCGAGAAGTTCTTTGACATCCTGTTGTATGCTAGGCCCCATAGCTCTGGACAGCATACTGATACAAGTGAATACAGTAGCATCCACCTGCATGGTCTTCTGCCTCCTAAAAGATTACAAAACATGGGAAAGAGGGCAAAAAGGAGTTTTGGAGGAAAAAGGAGGAAAAAGGAAAAAGGAAAAAGGAGAAAATCAAATACATAACATTCTTTAGATTTCATGTTTAGTGAATCAGGAGCAACATTAGTACACTTGGATAGTTTTAAAATCTGACTGGATAAGCCACGTTTAAAGTCATGACACATATAAGCTAAATTTGATATTGATCTTTGTAGGCCTGTCGCAATAATCAATATATCGACTTATCGCGCAATATATGTACATGACCTCAATAATTTTTGGTGACGCAATATATCGCCCATTATATTTACTTAAAAATTTATGTCACCGTGTTTTTTTACATTCCACTTGCACCAGTGTCTTTTGCAGCTTCTCGTACATAACGTGGTGTAGTCATGAGGTGCTAGTTCACATTTAAAAAATGCTTCTACAAACAAAGTTCCATCTGCAGATATGGTCTTGTTTAGGGATCTGTGCCTTTGTGCATACGGACATCTGACTGCTAAGTAGTGATTGTGTTTTTCAGCAATAGTGTGCACCCTTAATTTACAGAGAAAAGAAGGTCAGGGAAAAATCTGTAGATGGAAAAATCTCCATACAAGTTCTTTGTGCATTTTTCTTTTTTTCTACTTAGCACTTTTTTGTTAGAAAATGTTTATTTACTATTAATTCAGGTTTTTTAAGTTATCTAATATTTTGATACTTAATTTCCATGATCAAAATATAAAAAATTAAAAGTTTGTTGTCATTTGAACGTGTGTAGGCCTTCTTGCGTTATTATGCTGTTACATTATGATTATATATTCAGTGGCATAAAATGGTCTTTAAAATGACAATAATATCGCTTATCGCAATTACTTCTGGGGCAATATATCGCACAACAAAAAGTTGTTATCGTGACAGGCCTACATAATGCACATGTAATTTCACCTCTTGTTGAATAAAATCTATTCCTTGACAAGAGAGGCTTTGTTTGTCTCATAGAGCAGAGCTGTTTTAGCCACCCTCCATTGTTTATCCAATCCCTGCTGCCCTCATCATGAATTAAGATTCTGATTGGTGCAGTCTGACAGTGTCTGTTCTTCTCACTGGTGGTTTGTGGTGCTGTGTGAGTTGGAATGTGTGTGTTCACTTCCTGCTTCTTCGGCCAATCAGAGCTGCTGAATCTCATCGCATTTCATTGGGATTCAGATCAGATCATGAGTGTGTGAGAGAGGTAGAGACAAATTTGTGTGTGTGTGTGTGTTGTCTCTCCCTTTCCGGCTGTAATTGAGTTTTGTGGGCCTGTAGTTAAAAGTAGTTTCATATCTTGCACGTTCAGCATATTCTCATATTACTGTGCTTGTTTACAGAAAGACCGTTTAAACAGCAGTTTTATACGGACTGTCTCTACAAATGCAAAGATTTAGCTAAATTTTAAGTTTTAGCATTTTTTGTGTCAATGCTTATGCGTACTGGATAACAGTGTGCAGTGTGCTGCTGACCGCCGTAAGCTTGAGAGTAGAAATGAATGCATTTGACGTTGCATTGTTGTGGGTGACGTTGTTCATTGTAGGTTCTACAGTACGGAGAGCGCAGCATTATCTGTTTTAAAAAGCTTTTGTTCAGAGCTTCATTGGCGGTTGTCTGTCAACTGATCGTAGATGTTGTTTGGTGAGTTCTGTTTGGTTGTGCTTTAAATGTTTAGGGAATAAATTAGTTTAACCGATGCTTGAACTTCTGTCTGGTTTATGTTATTTGAAGATCTGTTTGGTTGTAGTTTAACTTGATTAGAAAATATTAAGATGTGTTCAACAGAAGTTTAACAGCTGTATTGGTACTATATGTAATAACGACTGATTATATCAGCTAATCAGGCATTATTTGACCATTTTAAAGGGGTCATATGATGTGATTTCAATTTTTCCTTTCTCTTTGGAGTGTTACAAGCTCTTGGTGCATAAAGAAGATCTGTAAAGTTGCAAAGACTAAAGTCTCAAATCCAAAGAGATATTCTTTATAAAAGTTAAGACTTGTCCACGCCCTCCTAAAACGCCTCGTTTAAACACACCCCCACATGTCTACATCACTGTGTGGGAAGATTTGCATAACACCGCCCAAATGTGCACGCAAAGAAAGAAAGCGTGGTTTCAGGAACAGCAGT